ATTCTTAGTAGTAAAGTATTTTGATAGATGTTATGAATAGTTCTTATCAGACGTTTCTCTTTCCTTTGTTTTTATTGTTAAAGTTACATCTGTAGTGTGGTGCAAAAATTATTTATTAATAGATCCAATTCATCAATGTTATAATATTAATATATCGCAAGAACATTTTTTCGCAACTCTATTCCGAAAGCATCAAATACAAACTGGTTAAAATTATGCCCGCATGGAACCAAGAATTATAGTACAATCAAAGCTCGTTAAATTTATATTCTATAAATTCAAAATTCATAAACCACTATCTTAATAAAATCTTCGATAATTGATAAAATCATAAATCTCTTGCGTTTATTATATGCCATCATCATACGTATAAAAATCTCGCTCTTTAAATTCATATCTCGTGTAACTATATATAGTAAGTTTTTCAAATTAAGCGTAGAAATACAGATGATAATAAGATTTTAATTGACAAAAAAACGATTTATCTTTTCTTGAAAAAAAAACGTGGAATTTGCGAAGAGCTTTTAGCTAATAACAATTGGGAATTATAATAAATTTTTTTATCGAAAATCTTGTCATTTTATAGAAAAAATATCTATAAAATCATCATGAAAATTAAAGAGCGACTTTCGATAATGGCATAATTCGATAAATTCATAAAATTTGCTGTGCCAGACCTATGAATTTAACGAGCTTTGACTATATTTTGAAGAAAGGAAAAAAGATTGTTCCTCATGTTTTCAGAATAAATGATATTCAAGCACTTGAGAATATCTAAGATAGAGAAAATCACCTATAAGGAAAGAAAATAATGACTAATAAAAGGACATTAACACAAAACGGAAAGAAAGAAATTAGAAGAAAAATGATTTACTGCCTCTTAATATAGATAAGTGTGTCTAACAAATTTATATGGCAATCAGTGTCCCGGTCGAACGAGTTTTTCTGGAGGCACAGACTTAATTACTCAAAGATATGGTAGTTTAGAACATGAAACAATAAGAGTTTGCACGTTGGTGGAGATGATGAATTTAATATTTAAATGTGTTGATCTATGAATGTGTAACGAAATAAATAATAACCTTGCCTTATTTAACTGACCAGCTGTATCTAAGCATGATACCATGATTTAATTTCATACATAGTCTCCATTCTAATTTTGGCAAGAAATGAACCTTCCCCTACCATTATAGATATAGTCAAATTTCGTTATAACGGCCCGTGCGGATTTTAAAACATTTAAAATCCGTTATAACGAATTTACTAGTGCTAGTACTAGTCGCGTTATTATTATTATTATTATTATTTATGGATTTCATGTTTTTATCGAGCAAAAATGTTAAAAGATCGTTATAACATGCATTTAATTAAGTTATAACGAGGTTCGACTGTTATGTATTTACATCTCTACTTTGCAACACACATTCGCCAAAACTAAGCTATTACAATAAATATTTGCAATGTTTTTTTTTTCTTAATAAAAAATGCTTTCTTTACCAACAAATTTTCCTCCGTATTGTTGATTGAAAACATACAATAACCAACCCTATAGCACTAACCAAAAAAATTGGACAAAATAATTAACACAATAATTAAGTAAACCAGTCAGTGAACAAAAATACTTGGATGGAGGGAATTGAAGAACTATGAAAGGGTTTTAAAAACAGAGTTGAAACCAGGTACTTCATTTAGTGAAATGGCCATTGAAATTTGCGAATTACTTGAAGAAGAAACGGACTGACTGAATTTTGTCTTCACTTCTATCAACAAAAAATAAATTCGAATCAATAAAGAAAGGAATAAAAAAATGGTAAACTGCGCAATACAAAAAAAGGAGAGGACTTGTGAGCGGACAACCACCAAGAATTGTGCGTCACAAGTAAAATAAAGCTGCTGTAGGTAGAAAAGGAGAAATTCGCAAGCAGGCAACCACCAAGAGTTGTGTATCATGGTAAAAACAAACGAACGAACATCTCATTATATTGTTGACAAAAGGAAAATTTTCCTTACATCATTCAAAATAAAATTATTTGCAATGTCAAATCCTTGATTTAAATCACATGAAAAGATTTCAATGAAATATAATATGGAGTGTGGACAGTAGAAACAAGACGGACGTTAATAGTATTTAAAATGGACGTTTATCTTGTTTCTATTGTCCACACCTACCTATATATGATCCTATTTAATTACCACATCATATAGTTCTTTTTCTTCCAGTGACTGACATTCTTCGTTGTAAATAAATTTTATATTAAAATTTTTTTTCCTACCTTCTTGTTTTTAGCAGAAATGCAATTTGATTTATTATTATACACCAATTGAAATAATCTAATAATATATATTCACTTTTCGTGTGAATCAAATGCTGTTGCAGTTGGATTGTTATTAAATATTGATCCTTTATTAAAGCCACCAGATCTAATACTAATACTAATGCTACATAGACATAAAAATTTATTAATAAAAATAAATCCCAGATTTGATCAATCTTATTTATTATCATATCTATTACCTTGGATCCGTTCTCTCCTTAAGTAATAATTGTTACCTCTATAAATGTTTTCTTTATTGGAAATAGTGGGACCTTTCCAGCAAAAATAGCCTCCAAGGTCATCCGACCAAATTTGTGTTTTTTACATAATATCAATCTAAATATCAGTGGAAAATAATATACCCTGTTTGCTTAATAAAAAAATGGAGAATTCACCTTTTAAAATAATTTGCGTTCCTGAGTGATTTTATTATGTAACCAATTCATGATCTACCAATTGTTTATATCAAATTCCAAATTTGGAAAAATTCCTGCTATTTTTTTTTAATGACTTGTATTGAAAGATTGTTATGTTTCTTCTATTACAAAATTTTCAATTTATTAATTGTATTTATTTTTCTTAGTTTTGCGAGCAAAATAAAGAAGTTATAGAAAACTTCAGATGAAACAAGCTCAAGTATATTCGTTGATTAGCTATATCAAGTGCCAAAACATGCAGGAACTTTATTGACTCTGCTTTCTGCTTATGGTTTACAGGTCCAATTAATAATAAAGCACATAACTTAATTACTAGATTTACCTCAAATTATGAAAAGCAAACATCGAATAATGATGAAACTTGTTCTGAAAAGATTAATAAAAAGGCCAACACAAATGCAATCTGAAGACAATGTTTTGACCTACAGAAAATTCTTTTGAATTTTCGTATTTGCACACATGTGAAAGCAACTAAGGTAATTAATTGCCGAAGGTGCAGATGCTTATTTTGGAGAAAATGGGGAAAGTGAAAAAAGTGATATAGAGACTGTTGAAGAACACGTAGAAAAAAACCTCGCAGAGGTATCGTTGGATTTTTTACTTGGTATGTTTATACAAATGTGAGATTTGATTGCCATCTTTGTATCTTTTTCTTTATGTTAATACTTGTATCCACTCTGTCTGATCTTTTAGAGTGAAATTAAAATTTTTGAAAAATTAACTGCAATTTAAAAAAAAGAACTTATATGGGATTCTTTGTTCCTCTAGAAATTTCTGATAAAAGAATATATGTAAAATAAAATAACAACATGATGGTTAGAGTGGGTGTGTTCAGGATGAGAGACTCGTTAAAATATGTTTTACAAGTCACTCCCGTTATAATGACACTCCATGTGCAAGCAAAAAATGTCAGTATAACGAGATTGTCATTATAGTGGGAGTTCATATAAAAGTCATTATCATATGATTTTATAAGTTTTTATTTTATTAATTATTTTTGGAACATAAAAATCTAAATTAATTTGTTTAGCCTCTCTAAAACTCTGACTTATTGTTTATTTTTTTTTAATTCTTGTAAACTATCTAATAAACGATCCTCCACTATAAACTTTGATACTTGTTCTTGTTGTATATAAGTAAGAAGGTTTATGCAACTTTTCAATGCGTCGTTAGTATTAATATGAATAATATTTCCTTCTCCTCCACCTCTTCTTCGTTAGTTATGTTTTATAGCTTCATCAAACCAAATTGCTAGAGCTTCTTCTAATTGTGGCAAATTTGCTTGCCGATTCTTTTTAAATTGAGAAGTTGAAACAGTTTCATCAACAGAAGGCCATTTGTTTGATTCTGATAAAATTACTGAAACTGTGCTTCGACTAATTTCAAAATCTTTAGCTAATTTATCTCGAGTTAAGCTAGGATCGTTTTTAGCACACTTGCATAGTTCTTTTTTTGGATGAAGGTGCAGAGGTTGAAGTCATTTTTAAAACAAAATTTAATTATGATTTTTAATAATTCATTGTCTAATTAACTAATTAATCATATTAATCAACGCTTTTATTGTTTCAATTTTTTCATGTCATTATAACGGGTGTCAGTATAACGGGATAAATTCTATAATTAAAAAAATTATTTTTGACAAATTATGTCATTATACTAGTATAACGTGATAAATAGCGAGTGTCATTATAACGGGCATAAATTTGTATTTATAAATTTGGTTTTTAAAAAAATGTCATTATAACAAGATTGCCATTATAACGAATGTCATTATAACGAATGTCATTATAATGAATGTCATTATAACGGGAGTGACTTGCGAAGAAACCTCCTCTTTTTTGGGGGATAATTTATTTTTTAGACAGAGTCCAAGACGAGTGAACTTGAACAAACCAACGAAATTCGAATTGATTCGAATCAATATATACTACCTAATATATATCATGATCTGATTTGATTCAGATCTATATATCTAAATAATTGAAATGCAATTTCTTATGTGTCCTAAGTCTCAGGCATGGTTAATCTTTTTTTTTTTTGTAAAAATAACTTTAAAAAAATCCTTTTTTAAAAAACTAAAAATATTTATTTTTTCTGCAATTATTTAATAAATAATGCCTTATATAATTCAGAATTTAAGTTTTCACTACAATAATTAAAGTAAATTTTTTAAAGTCGCGTTTTTAATAATTTGGTAAGTGATGCAATTCACTAATTCATGATGAACATATTGACAATTTAAAACCAAATGCAGGGCCTATTCGTAGAAGAAATTAATAATATTCAAAAGATGGATCGTAATTAGAGAAAAAACTGGGAAGCTGCAAATATTTTTAAATAATTTATAAACAATAAGAGTTTGAATCTGCAAACATAATTAAAGATAATCCAATTCTTAAGAATAATAAAGTTATTAGGATGTATTATGAAAAACCGATATCTATTCTCTTTTGACGGGATCATATGAAAAATTTGAATAACTTATCTTATATTACCTTAAACCAGTTACAGTAGACACTTTTAATAGTGTGTGGTAAATGAAGTATGTATGATATTCTCTCATAATGATTCAAGTAATATTATACATAAATTGGATTCAGATAATATTCATAAAATACGAAATATTTTAATTTTTGATGAAAAAATCAAAAGTTTATATAAATTCTAAATTTTTATTATATTCGGGTCCTGCGGAAAGTGTAAAAAGCAATGATAAAAGGTTGAATTCACTCTCATGGTAACAATAATAATAACCTTTTGTTATACACCAATGAAGAGTTTGCGGTTGAATAGTTTATTCATTAGCGTTCGATAAACAAAAATTAACAATTTCATTCGACTTTTATAATACATCAACGAATGCAATCTGTGTGCCATCATCATCACTATATTTTAATAAACTGCAATAATAGACTTGTCAAAGGAGTAGTTCCCTAATGGAACATTACATAAACAATCTGAATTACATATACTTTCGAGAATAGCTTTTCTTGGATACTAACAAATTTCGACTTGAGAAGTAATCAAATTGTACCCAAAACTATTCAGACCGAAAATATCCCGCGTGGTTTTAAATGCATTTCATGCCAAAATGTGCATTCTGTATCAAAATACATTCCACAACTATTCAATGCTGTATATCTTTAAAAAATTTTAAATGCTCTCAAATATTGACTCAATATTTCATTGGCCATCCATTAACCACTTCAATCAATTTTATTAGGACATCATTTGTAATTTTACACATCTTTTCGATTTTTGTAACAGTATCTCTTTTATAAAGATCCTTTTTAACATTTTTATTCATAAGGCAGTTTCTATTTGTACACTATGTGTGTAAACACGATGTTACGTTGCACGTTATTTTACATTATATTGGTTCACAATCACATTGGATCATCCCATAATTTGATCCAAACAACCTTTTTTGGCCTATTTTTGGGAAGTTGAACAAGTGCCAACCACACAATCTCTAACCATCACTTTATTTTATCATATCAGATCATCCCATCATTTTCACAAATCAACCTTGTCTCGTGTTATATATACGCACATACGAATCATATGTAAGATGCAAAATGAAATGTTATGTGTTTCAGGGTGTCCCAAACCCTCAAGCAAAACACTCACTCTAAAAAAGTTTAAAAAAAGTTAATTTTTTTTTTATTGATGCAAATTTTATTATGTAACGCACGTGACACGTGTAGAGCTTCTTCTAATTGTGGCAAATTTGCTTGCCGATTCTTTTTAAATTGAGAAGTTGAAACAGTTTCATCAACAGAAGGCCATTTGTTTGATTCTGATAAAATTACTGAAACTGTGCTTTGACTAATTTCAAAATCTTTAGCTAATTTATCTTGAGTTAAGCTAGGAACATTTTTAGCACACTTACATAGTTCTTTTTTTTTGCAAAGAACTTAAAGAACTTCTTTTTTTGGATGAAGGTTAATTATGATTTTTATTAATCAACGTTTTATTGTTTCGATTTTTTCAGTGATCGAATGTTTTTGATTGGTTCTCTCGTTATACTGACATGTCATTATAACGGGTGTCAGTATAAGGATAAATTCTATATTAAAATGAAAAATCATAATAAAAATAATAAAAAAAATTCCTTGTGATTCACGCCAAAAACGTTTTACTACATATCCTAACTTTCAAGAATTTGTCGATGCTAAAAAGTTATTTGTAAATGTGGTCAAATTATTTCACTTGAAGTTAATTATCAAGTGTTTGGGCAGTTATTACGTTTTATGAAAAATGTGGGCAAGGACATTCATGGGTAGAAAAGCCAGCAGGATTTTTAGATTATTTATCATATATTTCTATTAAGGCCATGCTGCAACAAAACCAGACAAAGTGAACATCGATATTACCAAGAATTTCAGGGATCAAAATTTAGTCATTTGTAATGTGATCATAATTAACAGTTTTATAATATGGGACATACTGCAACAAAACCAGACAAAGTGAACATTTATATTATCAAGAATTACAGGGATCATTTAACATCACTATTGTATTACCAATGTAATGTGATAATGATATTTGTCTAGACAAAAATAGTTAATATGAAGCTAATTTACATTAGGTCTACTATGGAACCAAAGAATTACAGCACCATTAGAAGTATTCTAAAAAAGGAACAAGGTGAAAAAATTGCACCTTACATTTTCAAAATAAATGATACTCAGATGCTGGAAGCTTATCTAAGAAAAGAAAAGATTACTTATGAAATTTACCATGAAGAAAGAAAAATAATAAATGTTGGAAAAAGAAAGCATCATGATGATGTATTATTACCTAATAAAAACCAAAAATCTTTAAAAGGAAAATAACTAACATTTTCTTTGATAGTTGGAATTATACAGAGGAAAATTACTTTCTTATTTTCAATCAAGGTCATTTCTTAGTTTCTTTAATTTCAACTTGTGCAGTTAATTGACCATTCTGTTGTAATTGTTCTAACTGGTTCTTTAATTTCTCATTCTCTGCCTCACAAGCATTTAACTTATTGACTAACACTTAAGGGGTTAAAGTTTTCAATTGTTCAATTTTCTGAGTCAATTTAATAATTTCTGTTTCTTGTTCATTCATAATAATGTATTTTTTTTTTTACACAGAAAATAACTTTTCTAAAAATGTGTTACATATTTTTTATATTTAATTGAATCCAACACAAAATAATTAATGAAAGTTAACAAAAGAATACAACTCGATTAAATCAGTGCTTGGAAAGAATACTTACCATCTCTCTTGAGACCAAAAAAATGTTTCACAAAATTGATTGATTATTATCATTTATCCTTATCCTTATCCTTATCTTGATCATAAGCACTCACTCCCCCAACGATTTAATTAAAAAAAAAAAGCCACTTGATTAAATTAAGCCTTTTCAAAACACTTCCCTAAACAATTTAGAATTAATCCGTTATTGTTTTTGAAAATGTAAAGATTCTTTCCTGACTAGTAATTTGGGAATTAATTACTTATTGTAAAAATATTAAACAACCATGCCCATTTTGAAAATGCAAAGAAAATATTTCCCCCGCCATCAACAATTTGGAATTAATTCATTATCACTGTAGCAGAATTTAAAAAATGTGCAACATTACTATTATTATTAAACGATCGGAAACATATAAACAAGGGGGACAGATTACCATATCGACACTAACGTGACTGGAATTCGAATGCATCACGCAAAACCAGATCACGAATATTATTTTGACACTTCGTGCCTCGTTCGAGTGCAACGTACAAAATCAATTCATAGAATCTTATTTTGGCACTACGTGCTTCATCCTCGAATTCGAATGAATCATGAAAACGAAATCGATGTACGTTTTTCCTGGTCAGAAGAAATGCTACTCATGATTGGTCGTGAACAATTGTTCACGGTAATCACGTCTTTACATCTTGGAGTCTTAATTCGGGCTATGTATAAAAAACATATCAGATTCGAAAATGTGTTGGTAAACGCAAAATACAACGCCGTCGTCATTTTGGTAGACGAGAGTCCGCATGTACCATGGCGTGAAATGCGACACCACAGCACGTAGTGCCTCGGCTTCGGGCAAGGAAAGCGTTTAATAAGTAATCGACTATAGCGAAGAGAAACAAATAATAAGCAAGTTGAGCGCCACACACATCGCATAATTAATAAACCCTTTAATATCGTTGATAAACTCACTGACACTTTAATACATGATGTGGAAGTGAACTGTCGGTAAAATGAACTGTCGGTAAAATGATTGCCGGTAAAATGAACTGTCGGTAAAATGATTGTTGGTAAAATGATTGTCGGTAAAGTAATTGTCGGTAAAATGAATTGTCGGTAAAGCGATTGTCGGTAAAATAAATATGTCGGTAAAATAATACGTCGGTAAAGTGATTGTCGATAAAGTGAATGCCTCCCAAATTAGAATCGTGTAGTTTGTGTCCATTCATAATGAGGCCATGCCAGATTTTATCAAGCAAATTTACATAATTAATAGGAAACCTTGTATAAAAAAAATTACAATATTAAAAATTTCATTAATTGATCTAGGTGATATTTTCATGAGATAATGATCAATAACTTATCTAAAGTAATTATTGTGAAATTTTCTTTTTTTCTCCTGTTTTGTTAAATTTATGTTAAATAATATTCAATTTTTACCTTTTTGGACGAAATGGCAATCTGGATTGAACTGTGATGGTATCATCAGTAAAATTTAAAGATGGACTGCACATATGTTTGTCAATGATTTCCAATCCTCATCCTCGTCCCACCTATATTGTTGTCATCATTATTATCATCCTTGGTTTAGTTCACGTACATTGAAACTCTGTATAATTTGACCAATCTCACGTGGAAAAAGTTGTATGACTTTAATGATTAATAAATATAGATCAGCTTTCTACTTGTGCACTTGCATTTTTTGCCTTCAACAACACTGATAGACAGTGGTTTAATTGTTAAAGTTTTTTTTGATTTATTATCATGATGTTGACATTCAGCAAGAGAATTTGTAATCAAGATAAGATCAATGAAATTAATAATGAATGACCATAGAGTTTTATGTTTCACAACCTTTTTTTTTTTAAATAAAATGTCTGAGACCTTGTCCAAAGTAAATCAAATTGTCAACGATATTAAAAAAGTAGCGACAATAAGTAATGAAGAAAAAACACGTGAAAAATTGAATAAAATAATTGAAGATGGATTTGACAATTTACACATTATATCTGGTAAGAAGAGAGTATAACGGTTTTATATAATTTTTTAAAAGGTGTTTGATAAATAACAAACGTAATTACCTTTAGACTTTGATGCAACAATGACTTCGTACTGGTTTGATGATAAAAAGCGGAATCCTAGTTCACATTCAATATTAGGAACAAGCAAACGTTTATCTGATCAAGTTTGTGATTTTCAATATAATTAATTAATTAATAATGTCATTCATACTAAAAGTTGAACAATAATGAGTGCCATGTAATTTTATGATAAGGAAGTTCAGGGCCCGTATCAAAGAAATAGATGAAAAATATTATAGTATTGAGATTGATCCATACAAGAGTAAACAAGAGAAATTACCATATATGCTTGAATGGTGGGGAAAAGCTCACGACCTTTTAATTGGAGAAAAAATTAGTAAAGATGATGTAACTAGAATAGCAACCGAAACACCTGTGAAAATGCGGCCTGGTTTAGATTCGTTAGTTAAAACTTGCAGTGAAAAAAAAGTACCTTTACTAGTGTTTTCAGCTGGAATTGGCAGTAAATAAATATATTTATGTTTTTTTTTAATAAGTTCTCCATTATATTTTTTTTTTCAATTAAAATTTTATCATTATATAAAGATGTTATTGAACAGGTCTTAAGAAGCAAAAATCTTTATGATCAAGATAATATGCATATTGTATCCAATCAAATGGGATTTAATCCAACCACTGGAATATGCGATCGTTTTTCAGAACCTGTGGTTGATGAGAATGTACTGACAGACAAGACCAATATAGTCGTGAGAAGGCGCAAAGTAAATGATGTTATTCCCGAAAAAGATCTTCTTATAAAAGATGTATTGGCAATGAAGAAATGACGTCAGGCATCAAAATATGTGGAAGAGATAGATACATAGACGAGGGTACATATGTTAATATTGTCCATCTACATGCTTTTGATACTATTTATTCACTTAAAACCTTGTTTTACAGTTCATCGGCAACAAAAGCACGAAATCTCTTGGGACGATATCATTGAAAATAATTCTTTTGTTAAATATTGATTCAACGAAGTTTATCTTTTGTAAATTTAGATACAGTATATGTAACTGTATCCAATACCTGCTTATGGGGTTGTAGCAATAAAAAGTAAAAAAACAATTTTTTCTTCAATTTGTAATTGCATTATTGTTTATTAAATAATATATAATCAGTTAATAAATAAAATTCAAAACCATTTATTTTGGTTTTTTTTTTAAACATCATCACCACTATCACTATCAATATCTTCCCAATTAGCGTCATTATTCTCATCATCGTCGTCGTCATCATTATCATCGTCATTAGGTAATGTTATAGGATTTTTCTGAAAAAAAAATTTTTTAATAGAGAAAATTAGACAAAGTTATTTATTATATAAAATTTTCTTTAAAAAAAAATTTATTTATTCA